AAAAAGCCCCTCCCCTCCCCCCCCCCCCCCCCGAAACGACAAAAGACAAGTGGCAGTGTGAAGGTGGCTTTATCAGCAGGAGCACTCTCCTGCCAACAAAGCTAACACCGCTCCCAGGGCTGGAAGTATTTTGTCGACAAAAGTGCCGACAAGGTACTGACAAAGAGCGTTTACACACACTGACGTTTACACACACTGACTTTTAACGACAAGGCTGTGTCGACACAGCCTTGTCGCTAAAAGCTGCATGATGTAGACAAGCCCTTAGAGTGCCAGTTTCTAATACCGGTCATGCCAACTTCGTGGTTTATTTTAACATCTAGTATAGTTTTATCGTTACAATTACTCACTAAATTGTTTGGTTTTGTCTCTTTTCCAAAATAAGCATAGTTTGTTTTGTGCTCAGATTTTGTATGCTTTTCCTGTTGCAACACAGCACTCCCAGACCTTATTTTTCCGTAGTGACATTTGGAATATTACTAATCCAATATTCTTGTGTTACTGTATTGGTCTGAATTTGTAAGACTTTACTGAAATTTGCCTATTAAAAATAAATATTTCTACAATGGTTTCCAAACCCTGACCTCAGTTATATTATGTAGATTCCTATGGGTCAAAATAACACACCTGACGTTTTCTGATGCTGAGTTTTATGATTATTTCAGTGCTACTGTCTCTGTAAACTAATGTCATACTTTGGAAGTGAACCCTGCTGTTCTTACTAAATTAGAATTCAAAGTGAAGAAAAGCGTTTGAGGAAAGAGAATCTTGTCTAGAGCTCACTATTTTAGAAATGCCATAATTTCAAATTAAAGTTTTGAGAATATTAGTGTCTTAGAAGTAAACTACCATATTCCCTCTCAAACTTTCAATGTAGCAGTCAGTTATATTGGTGCCTATACCATCTTGACATTGTAGCCCATAAAGCATACTTTTTAATAATTATTTCTATCATAAAAGCAAACAATGTCTTTCTAACAATAGCTTGGAAGCCAGTCTTCCAGTTGAATTTAAGGTTCTGTCTGCTGGGCTTGCATCTTATATCAGCCCCAATCCTTCCATAATATAGAGAGACATATTTGGGGGAAGGGGATTTTTGCTATTAGATGATTAGTTGTATTAGCTCTCAAACTTAAGAAATGAGAAGAGGAACTGAAATAGATTTACATGCCTGAGAGCATTGACTCAAGTTAAATTCTGAGGAAGTTCTGTAAGTAGAAGTTGGCCTAAGACCCCAAAACTATAGTTAATGTACTTTGAGTTAATTGCTGTCCCTGGTCTGGTGAGGCCTGCAACAGGAACAACTGCATGGGAACACCTGAACTGTACATGCCTATACTGTGCCTCCTGAGTTATTTTTAGTCCCTTATTTCTTTAAGCCACACAGACTTCATTTTTTACAAGTTATTGTCTTAAGGGTGTTTAGGAGCAGTCTGTGGTATGAATGTAGTGATACAAATATGCTTTAATTTTCATTTGTTAATGTTACTGAAGTTCATTTTCTGTTTCACCTTCTGCTACTTACTGACTGCATCTTATTTTATAGGGTTGATAGATTTTTCAAAAGGATATACTAATGAGTATTGCACTTCTGGAAAAAGTAACACCCAGCCATTAGGTTGGTATATTTACAGTAGCTGTCAGTTATAATTGTATAACTTTTTATACTTTCTATTTTTTTAGTGAATGAAATCATAGGAAGAGATATGTCACAGATCTCAGTGTCACATGGAGCAACAGTGGCTGGCCAATCTCCAAATACATGCCCTGGATCTCTGGAGACAGGAATATCTGATGGAGTCTAAAAGCAGCTAAGCGTCCATGAAATCTTTCAAGTTTTCTCTGAATATTTCTTCTTCATCCCCTTCTTTTACACTCACTGTGCTTCCAACTCTTGTGGCCTTTTATAAACTGGAACAATGGATCCTTGCATAGCCCTTTTAGTGGGTTACATTTGCTGTAGACAGAGTATTTCTAATTCTAGTTTCTCGAGTGCTGTAAAAAATGACTGAGTAAATGGACACCAAGAAGCAAGACAAGATATTTTAACCGTTTTAAAAATTACAAATGAGCTTTGCTGTTTTACATTTAAATAGAATACTTTTATATATTGTAAGTGCTTAAAATGTGTGGAGATGTTAGTTTTGCTCTTCTAATAATATTCACAGTACTGAATGTGGAGAAAAATTTAATACACCTCTTCAGTGTGCTGCTTTCCCTTAGAAGAAGTAGTAGAATTGTAATTGACAGTTTTGTACACCTTTGGTCATTCTGAACAGCCTTTAAGCTTATATTGTTTGAAAGATAACTTTTTATAATGAAATCTTCCAGAGGCAAAAAAACAAACAAACCTGTCATCTTAAGCCAATGCCTTGGAAGCCATTGTGTATAAAAATACTTTAGTGTTTTCTTTCTTTGATTCATAGGAAGCCAAGCCAAATGTAGATCTGCACTTCTTTATAAACTGAAAATGTTATTTGATAGGCTGCAAAGAGACCATTCCATCATGGAAGTGTTGGGATAGAAATGACATTCCAAAATTTAACTTTTATAACTATATGGATAATCTTCCTGTACTTTGTTAGCACAGGCTCCTTACTAAAATAGCTTTTTCATAGAAACTATACATTTGTAGTCAAATTTGAAAAACTAGGATTTTGATGTAAAGAACCTTAATTTCAAAGCCATGTTAGATAAGGGGGAATTTTGATATTTGCAGAGGATTTAAGTGTGTTATCACTATGAAATACACCAATCTTCAGTAGCTCTAATATTTTCCATGCAGTAAATCATTTGCTTACATCCCTATTCTATATCTGCATCTGCCTAAATCCTGCCACTTTGACATTGCAGTTTCTTAAATTTGAACTATGAACATTTATCTGCTAAAAAGAAACTTACTGTGAGTGAGTGCTTTAAAGGAAATACATTTGAGTAATTTGTAGGGTTACCATATTTCCACAAGCAAAAAAGAGGACACTGGGGGGGGGGGAGGAGCCCTGCTCTAGCCCTGCCCCCATCCACTCCCTCCCACCCCCAGTCCTTGTCCCCTGACTGCCCCCTCCTGGGACCCCTGCCACTAACTGCCCCCTAGGATCCAACCCCCTATCTAAGCTGCCCTGCTTCTTGTCCTCTGACTGCCCCCTCCTGAGAACCCCCTGTGACCCTACCTGTCCCCTGACTGCCCCGACTCTTATCCACACCCCTGTCCCCAGAGACTCCCATGCCCTATCCAACTGCTCCCTGCCCCCTGACAGGACCCCCAGAACTCCTGACCCATCCGACCCCCTCTGCTACCTGCCTGCCTCAATCCCTCTCCACACCCCTGCCCCCCTGAC